GTAACATTAATGTTATCAACCCCAATGATATCCCAGGAAAAACTATACTCTGCATATAATACTACTTTTAGGATATCGCCTTCTCTCAAAAAATGTTACTCCAGATACATCAAAGGACTTCGTAAAACTGTTATGTCCTTATATTACAGCCGGGATTTTAACACCTTCAAAAATAAGGTACCGCTAATAAGAAGACATCAGGGCTGTACGAACAATGGTTCTATTCAAATAACGAAGCGTCCAATGTCTCATCCATCCAATAGTAATATTCGGGGCATATACTTCTAACTTATTATATACTACTCCTCGTATATTCCTACGGTTAATAGAATAGTGCGCCCCATATATAAGCAGTTTGGGTATATCGAGACTCTTCAAATAATCGTGCTTCGGAGACATGCATTATCATTGCACAATTGTGCTTTGCAAATAAGTATACTAGGCACACGTGACATGAGTCATAGAATATAGTTCCAGATGATCCATTACTCTTATGCGACTGTGGTGTTCAGAGAGCAGGAGTCCGCAGATATCAGTATTGTTCAACCATTAATACATTCATATAACCGTACCATGAGGAATTCCGCAATCTTCACTATTTGAAATGAATACACATCAGTACTTTTCAGGCAGTAGTTTCCCTGGAATATCCATGCACTTCACAGAATAGTGCCTCACTAATAATAGCACACCTGGAATGTCAATACTGTACACACAAAAGTACTTTTAACATCATAGTACTCTTGGCGTAGCAATATTCTTCAAAGAATAGTATTCCAGGAAATCCAATGGATTTCCAAAATCATATACTCCATATAATAAAGCCGTTAACCTTAAATCGAAACACTTCACATGATGCTACTCCAGGGATAGTCCTACTCATCATGGTACACCAGTCCATACATAATCGTAGGGTTCTTCAAATAGAAGTATTATTCTCAAAAGAGTACACTTAGTATAACAATACTCCTTGCACACTCGTACTGTCCAAATAATACTACTCCCAGGGTAACCGTACTCCTCCCTCCACGACACTTCGCATGTAATGGTGCTCTTAGTATAATAGCACTCGAGCTCATCCATATATCTCACCCATTAGTACTTTCATATAACCGTAGTATGGGAACATCTGCACTCCTGACCATCGATAATCTTGACACATCAATAATCTTCACGCAATATTTCTCCTGGCATATCCACGTACTTCATAGAATAATGTTTCTCATATAATGGAGGCGTAAACTCTGAATCCCTCGCATAAACTACTACATGGACATCAGTACCCTTCCTATAACAGTATTATACGTACATCCCGGCACTGCAACTCCCCTTAGATATACACATGATTATTCTGCAAGCAAGAGTACCCCCGGCAGGTTGTTCCCCTGGTGTAAGGAAACGATAAGCATGTCAGTACTTTGCACATGAGTAGTACGGACACCTCAATAGGCTTCCTACAATAAAACTCCTGGAAAATCCTTACCCTTGAAGCAACTGTGCTCTTCAATTAACAGTATTATACAGGTAACACTGGTATT